ATCCTTCTTTGAACCTTGTGAACTGGTGCCACAGAATCAAAAAGAACTGAAAAATAACAGAAATTACATCAGTTGAGGACTTTCAACAGCAGCAACAACTAAAATGGATATCAAATGTATAAAAGATCATCCTTCTTGAAAGATTTCCTTGTGAAACTTTGAACTGGTGCTACAGAATCACAAAAGAATGCCAAATAACAGAAATTCATCAAACTGAGGGACTTTCAACAGCAGCAACAACTAAAATGGATAGCAAAAATCATCCTTCTTTGAACCTTCTTTGAAACAACTGGTGCTAAAGAATCAAAAAATGCCAAATAACAAAATCACATCAAAAAGGACTTTCAACAGCAGCAACAATATCCTTAAGGATAAAAAAATGTTTGAATCCTTAAGGTCATTGAACTTTTGCTATTTGAATAAAAAATAAATGCCAAATAACAGAAATCAAAATGAGTTTTGGAAGCAGATACAACTAAAAATGGATATTTTCTTTCATCCTTCTTTGAACCTTGTGGACTGGTGCTAGAATCACAAAGAATGCCAAATAACAGAAATCCATCAAAGGAAATTCAACAGCAATGCAAAAACTTAAAATGGATAGCAAAGATCATCCTTCTTTGGCAACCTTGTGAACTGGTGCTACAGAATCACAAAGAATGCCAAAATGTAGAAATCACATCAGTTGAGGACTTTCAACAAAGCAACAAAATGGAATGGATATAAATAAAAGATCATCCTTCTTTGGCAAAATCTTTTCTTTGAACCTTGTGGACTGGTGCTACAGAATCACAAAATAGAATGCCAAATAACACAAAATCACATCAGTTCTAAACTTTCAACAGTCAGAAAAAATTAAAATGGATAGCAAAGATCATCCTTCTTTGAACCTTGTGAACTGGTGCTACAGAATCAAAAAAGAATGCCAAATAACAGAAATCACATCAGTTGAGGACTTTCAACAGCAGCAATTAACTAAAATGGATAGCAAAGATCATCCTTCATGAAAATTGTGGAAATGGTGCTAAACAAGAAATCCAAAAAGAATGCCAAATAACAAAATCAACATCATTGAGGAAAATTTAAACAGTAGCAACAACTAAAATGGATAGCAAATTATCATCCTTCTTTGAACCTTGAACTGGTGCTAAAATCTTCACAAAGAATGCCAAATAACAGAAATCAATTCAGTTGAGGATTTCAACAGCAGCAAATAACTAAAATGGATAGCAAAGATCATCCTTCTTTGAACCTTGTGAACTGGTGCTACAAATCACAAAAGAATGCCAAATAACAGAAATCACATCAAGGAATTTCAAATTTAGCAAAACAAAATGGATAAACAATTCATCCTTCTTTTAACCTTTTTTACTGGTGCTATAAAATTTAAATTCACAATTTCAAATAACAGAAATCAAAATTTTAAGGACAATAACAGAAAGCAACAACTAAAATGGATAGCAAAGATCATCCTTCTTTGAACCATTCAACTGGTGCTACAGAATCAAAAAGAATGCCAAATAACAGAAATCACATCAGTTGAGGACTTTCAAATTGCAGAGACAACTTCATGGATAGCAAAAGATCATCCTTCTTTGAACCTTCCACTGGTTTTTTTTTAACATCACAAAAAATGCCAAATAACAAAATCACATCAGTTGAGGAATTTCAACAGCAAATCAGGGTTAAAAAAAAATGGATAGTTATGATCATCATCTTTGAACCAACAGAACTGGTGCTACAGAATCAAAAAGAATGTACCAAATAACACAAATCACATCAGAAAATTTCAACAGAGCAACATACTAAAATGGATTATCAAGATCATCCTTCTTTGAACCTTTGAACTGTGCTGCAGAATCAAAATTATGCCAAATAACAAAAATCAATATTCAAAGGACTTTCAACTTCAGCAGAACAACTCAAATGGATAGCAAAGATCATCCTTCTTTGAACCTTATTCAAACATTATCAAAATCTATCAAATCATGCCTAATAAACCAGAAATCACATCAATTGAGGAATCTTTCAACAGAAAAAACAAAATGGATAGCAACAACAAAATCATTTTCTTCTTTGATCAACATCCTTGTGAACTGGTGCTATGAGAATCACAAATATGTCCAAATAACAGAAATCATTCATTTGATTTTTACTTTTCAGCAAAACAACTACATAAATGGATAGAACAAAATGATCATCCTTCTTTGAACCTTGTGAACTGGTGCTAATGAATCATGTAAAGAATGCCAAATAACAGAAATCACATCAGTTGAGGACTTTCAACAAGCAACAACTAAAAATGGATAGCAAAGATCATCCTTCTTTGAACCTTGTGAACTGGTGCTGCAGAATCACAAAGAATGCCAAATAACAGAAATCACATCAGTTTAACTTTCAATACTAGTAACAACAAAAAATGGATAATGCATGTAACTCAAAGAGAAACAATGACAAAAATAAATGAAGAAGGAATTCCTATCAGCAATCAAATTAAACTTGAAAACCTAATATCTTTTCCTGAAAAAAATTATTCCAATAGAAATATTTTATAAATTTCAAACAACGTTAGTGCTGGCTGGTCAATGAAAGATTTTTTTTTATTTATTTAAATAAAACGGATTATTGGTTCAAGAAATTTATATTACACTTTGAATCTAGTTTGATGACGAAAGAGCATTAGTTGTACGGTCAATGAATGTCTGATATTTCTTTCTTAGGAAATAGTTACTATTACCATTAAAGATGACGAGAAAAATACTAAACATGGTATTTACTTCCCCGCCGATGGTGACGTTGGGGAACCCCAGTGCGTGGACTTGGGCCAAGGTAAAAAAGAAAATAATGCTCAGTCCCCCCAACTCCATGATGACGTCGATTGTGAACCCTCCCTGTTTAGTGCCATGATAAAAGGAAAATTTTTTTTTAATTGGATAATTTTCAAGACAAGGCCTTTTATTATTTGGTGTGTTTCGTCCGAAGAAACAAACATAATTGAAAGTTAAAATACAGTTTGTACAAAGGAAGAATATACTCTTTGCAAATTATTTTATAAACAAAATTTAAAACGATTTCTTGATAATTTTACATGCATAAATTTCCAATCACATTGTAGACAGGTTTTAGAATTAGGAAAAGAGAAAAATGAGGAACTAAAAATTTATTTATTTTCTTTTTTGTCTTTAATCTTCCAAGCGTGGAAACTGCTAGTTTTCCCGACAAAATAATTTTTCGAAATACTCGTTTTTTCCTTAGCTCAAAACATGATAAGTGGCACCGTTAAAATTTTTTTCAGACACTACAGCTTAGCTTAATTTAGAAAAATGGTAGGGAAAAAAAAAACCTTGGAAGAAAAGTGACATATGATTTAGTTTTTAAACACAAACCTTAAAATCATTTATTTTTAATTTAAACAAATTTCATTTTTAGAAACAAAAATCATGAAGCAAAAGGAGTTCTATTAGATGTAAAATCTGCCTCATCATTTTCAAAGATCTAATTCTAGACTGCAATGAGTTTTTAATTATTAAAAAAAGATGAAGTATTAAAATGTAGACTTTAGAAGGAACTGGAAACCCAATCCTAAAAGAGGAAACAAGGAAAACCTTCTACTCCTGTTCAAAAGACCAGAGAGTGTGAACCTATCTACTCGTATTGATAAAAAGAAAAAATAATTCAATAGTAAATAAAATTCAGAGTTTTAGGAGGAGATGTTAGAAGTATAGAAATTGAAGTAGACTTTAGAAGGAACTGGAAACCCAATCCTAAAGAGGAAAAAAAGGATAAACCTTTACTCCTGTTCAAAAGACCAGAGAGGAGTTGAACCTATCTACTCGTATTGATAAAAAGAAAAAATAATTCAATAGTAAATAAAAGTTCAGAGTTTTAGGAGGTGATGTTAGAAGTATAGACTTGAAGTAGACTTTAGAAGGAACTGGAAACCCAATAAATAAAAGGGAAAACAAGGATAAACCTT